GTATAACACATCATGATGTTATCAGTTAGACTGTATAACACATCATGACGTCATCAGTTAGACTGTATAAAACATCATGATGTCATAGTCATCAATTAGACTGTATAACACATCATGATGTCATCAGTTAGACTGTATAACACATCATGACGTCATCAGTTAGACTGTATAACACATCATGATGTCATCAGTTAGACTGTATAACACATCATGACTTAATCAGTTAGACTGTATAACACACCATGATGTCATCAGTTAGACTGTATAACACATCATGACTTAATCAGTTAGACTGTATAACACATCATGATGTCATCAGTTAGACCATATAACACATCATGACGTCATCAGTTAGACTGTATAACACATCATGATGTCATCGTCATCAGTTAGACTGTACAACACATCATGATGTCATCAGTTAGACCATATAACACATCATGACGTCATCAGTTAGACTGTATAACACATCATGATGTCATCAGTTAGACCGTATAACACATCATGACGTCATCAGTTAGACTGTATAACACATCATGACGTCATCAGTTAGACTGTATAATATCATGTCATCACTTAGTCTGTACAACACATCATGATGTTATCGGTTAGACTGTATAACACATCATGACTTAATCAGTTAGACTGTATAACACATCATGATGTCATCAATTAGACCATATAACACATCATGACGTCATCAGTTAGACTGTATAACACATCATGATGTCATCAGTTAGACTGTATAACACATCATGATGCCATCAGTTAGACTGTTTAACACATCATGATGTTATCAGTTAGACTGTATAACACATCATGATGTTATCAGTCACTTGGACAATTCACCTACACTGGCATCACTAATATGCACCTTCTTAAACATTCATTTTTGTACTGTAATTTACGGTGTATGTATGTATATAAATATGCATATGTGCTTATGTGTGTATGTGCGTTGGTATATGTGCATTACTGTATATCATATGTATATACTGTGGGGCTGTTTTTGTTTATCTTTTAGTTATGTTTCATTATTCTTCTCAGCCTCTCCTGTATTAAGCTGCAGTAATCTACAAATTTCCCCACTGTGGGATCAATAACGTTTTTATCTTATCTTATCTTATCTTATCWTATCTTGGCTGCAGCTGGTAAATCTATCTGCATCAATCCTCTCATCTGTCATCTCTGGCTTTTCAGGCACAACTCTTTTAAGAGACACCTGCCCAGGCAGATGCAGGTGGGCAGCTTAGACCTGGGGAATGACTACATGGTGGAGAAGGACGAGAAGCCAACCAGCATCGGCCGCATCCAGCCTGAGCTCTACCAACAGAAGGCCTCCGAGTCCGAGGAGTCCTCCAAGACCGGCAGTGGTAAAAACTGCGGCAGGATTAACTTCTCGCTCAAATACGACTATGAAAACGAGGCGCTCATTGTCAACATCCTCAGGGCAGTAGACCTGCCTGCCAAGGACCTCTGTGGCACTTCTGACCCTTACGTGAAGGTCTACCTCCTGCCCGACCGCAAGAAGTTCCAGACTCGAGTTCACCGGAAGACCCTTAATCCCACATTCAGTGAGAGCTTCCAGTTTCCTGTGCCTTACGAAGAGCTGGCTGTCAGGAAGCTCCACATGAGCGTCTTTGACTTTGACAGATTTTCCCGACACGATATGATCGGAGAGGTGGTTCTGGAGAACTTGTTTGAGACGTCAGATTTGTCAAGGGAGACCAACATCTGGAGGGACATCCAGTATGCCACCAGTGTAAGAACTTTATCTTTTATACATCTTCAGCTACATGTGTTGTGTTTTATTATGTATTTCTTGTGAAAAATAAAACTTCATAAATGTAATGCTGTTATTGGAAAATATGTTTATTTCTTCTGAAATGGAGCCACCTTAGTAGAAAAAATGATTTGTCAGTTCATAACAGACTTATCACATCACAGATGTATCTCATCACAGATGTATCTCATCACAGATGTATCTCCTCATAGATGTATCTCCTCACAGACATATCTCCTCACAGATTCTCCTCATAGATGTATCTCAGCACAGATGTGTCTCCTCACAGAGGTGTCTCCTCATAGATGTATCTCAGCACAGATGTATCTCCTCACAGATGTATCTCCTCATAGATGTAGCTCAGCACGGATGTGTCTCCTCACAGATGTATCTCCTCATAGATGTAGCTCAGCACAGATGTGTCTCCTCACAGATGTATCTCAGCACAGATGTATCTCCTCACAGAGGTGTCTCCCCACAGATGTATCTCCTCATAGATGTATCTCAGCACAGATGTATCTCCTCACAGATGTATATCCTCACAGATGTATCTCCTCATAGATGTGTCTCAGCACAGATGTCTCCTCATAGACGTATCTCACAGACGTATCTCCTCACAGATGTATCTCCTCACAGATGCATCTCCTCACAGATGTATATATTCACAGATGTATATATTCACAGATGTATCTCCTCACAGATGTATATATTCACAGATGTATCTCCTCACAGAAGTATCTCATCACAGATCTGGCTCCATTAAAGGGAAATAAACAGGCTTTAATCCAGTAAAGATTAATTTTCAAGAATCATCAATACAACAAAGAAATAATCAACCAAACAATGTGAAGGAAACTGTTACTAATTAACTAAATAGTTTTGTCATTTCTGATCATTGCATCCATACTGTTTAAAACAGAGCATGAGTGTTGTTTTGTATCATGAATTCTTTCGGTCTGCATAAASAAAAGTTAGTTATGGGAACGTCTGACATGCAAGGCAGTGGCGGGCTGTGCATTTTCCCCCTAGGCCTTTAATGGGTGGAGAACGGACCTCCCTCCCCATAACCATCTCCATAGCTTTTCAGTGCAAAAAAACACATTATGTATAATAATTTATATTTAAAAAATATWCGAAATATAAATTTAGTACTGCACAAAATAACTTAAAAAGCTTTTTTTGTTAGACTGATTGATTTCCCTGTTAAAATAACTATTTCTTTCAAAAAGATTATATTGTTTAGAGAGATTATGTAATCATTTAACATTATTTATTCCTCATATTTGATCAATTATTGAATCACAGAGCAGTTCACTCACAGTATGGTTCTAAATACAGTATAAGCAACTATATTGTGAAGAATAAAATTTGTAGGTATTTATGATAAACTTCAAACAGAACATAGCAGGTTATTATTTTTTTGGGTGGGGGGGTAACGCTAAGCGGAGACTCGTTTTTCTATAACATGGGCAGTGGTGGGCAGCACTAAGCTAAAAATTAGTTCCACTAGCCCTAAAACACCAACTCAAATATTTAGGTCCCCTAATTCTAAAGCACTAATAACCAGTCAACATTCTTCAACAGAAAACATGAGTCACATATTACCATGCTGCTCTTTTAATACTTATCATTGACATTCCACAGCTGTATTTGGGTTCATATATTGTCAATATGTCACCTGGTGGATAAGTGACACACATATGAACAAAATGTGTAACAGTTTTCACCTTCAGCTGTTAACAATAACRCTGATCAATAATACTTATAGACCTCAGTTAGTGCTTCTAAATTTTGCATAGAAATTTAGCAAGTGGTAATCCACTAGTAAATTTTAAAATTAGCAAAAGCTCTAAAGCACTAATCAGGAAATTTGTTCCCCTATTAGTGCTTTAGTGCTTTAGGGGAACTGTGCCCACCACTGAATATGGGACAAACACATGTTCAACTGTTAGAGTTAATATATATATATATGCACTCACCGGCCACTTTATTAGGTACACC